GATTCCACTTATTCCATTTCTTCCTTTAATTTAAATGGCATGTTTATATGTCTTCACTGCTGTATTAGAGTGGGGGGAAAAGGGGGCTGGATATCCCAAACACCAGAAGTCATGTGCAAATATTGCAAATAGAAAATACTTTACCGACAAATAAATTTGTAAAGTGAAATATTGAACCTTTGGCCAGAATGTTAACATTTAAATATAGGTTTATTCTAAATGTTAAATTAGCAATATTTCTGAAATCCAAATTAAAAATTGCTTTTAAAACACATTTTGCTTTGTAAGCATTGTCAATGCTAACATCTGTTAATTTTTTACAGCATGTTATGTTGAAATAAAAAGAAAATAATATGAGTAATTGGTGCACTCTTCTGCTCTTTGTGGGGAACTGGGGGAGATGGGAATAAGCCCACAAAGTGGTGTGCCAGGTGATAAGCCATACTGACTTTGGACTCCCAGTACAATTTACAAAAGAGATTCTTGAATATATATCTGAATTTCTTAAGATGAATAGCAGCCTGTGATCTGATATTCTGCCTCTGGTGTGTTCAGGAATACCAACTGATCCAATCGGAAAAGGCCTTATTTTTTTAGTTGCTCAGGAAATATTAAAATATTAATGAAACGTGCAGTAAATAAGTCATTACTTTAAATTTGCTATGAAATGTTATATATTTTTAATGTATCCATTTGCTTATGTAAAAAAAAATAAATTTAAATTTGTGAGCAACTTACTGATATTTTTATTATATTGAAAAAGTAAACTATGGTATTCTTCCTTCCTCTTGATTCATGTTTTTCCTACTTTCTGCACTGGATTTGTAATTTAAATTCCATCCACCATATTGGTATCTCCAGCCCCTTTTATATGATGTCTCTTCATTTTCTTTCAGAACCTTAGTTTATGTATATGTGCTCTAGCAAACTAGTACATGAACAGGGATCAGCAGCACTGGATTGTAAAATACTGTACTGAAATTCTATTGTTGAATTTTCCTTGAACTGTAATTTGAAATACTCAGGTAACTGTAACAGTATCTCAGTAAGTCAAATACTTTTATAAAAGTACTTAAAGAGCTGGTCTTCCTGTCATCATTCCTTGCTGGTATGAAAATTGTTTGAAATTAAATTGAATTTGTCTTCTCTTCTTTCCTTTTAAGCTGGTTTGAAACCTTCTACTTAGCAAGTCTGCTTGGAAACAGTTCACTTACATGAACAATTTTGCCATTGTTAACTCAGTGAAGTAATCATGTTATTCCAGGTTTGTTTTAGAGTATGAATGATTTGGTCACAGCCATAACTTAGAAGTTACTTTATCCCAAATCTCTGAATTGTTTTTTTATAACCCTTGGATCCCACCTTTGATGAGAATGTTGGTCTGTCAACAGTTCAGTTCTGAGTACACTGCAGAACCTCAAAAGGACCAAGTCTAGACCACTGATCCTCAACTAAAGTGCTGCCATGGGTTTCCTTGAGATCTTTTCAGGGGCACCATGTCTTGTTAGCACTGTAAATTGCACAAGTATAATTCACAAGATAAACTGAGAGATTTCAAATAGGCATTCATAGTGTCAAAAACATTCTGATTTGTTGGGGTCTTTCTGAGTTCTTTGCAACATAAAGAATTGCTCCATTGTTTTTCTGTAGTAAAAAAGAGTGAAAACCAAGAGCTGGCATTCTCTAAGTAGTGACTTGAGTCTAAAAAGGTTGAGAAGAGAGTGATCTAGACCTTGAAGTGAAGGGAGATGACATAAGAAAAGACTGCATGACATCTTCAGCATTACCAATTTTGCCTCTTTGCATGATTGTGACCTAATGTTACAGTTCTTCTTGGAACCTGTGTGGACAGGAAAATAAAATAGTTATATGAAGGAACATGTTTTAGCACAAGACAGACTAAGCTGTATTTTTATGCTACTTCTGCATTATTGATATTATGCAAGTTCCCTAGCTCCTTCATTTAAAACATTAAATGGTAGGATGTAGTTTCATGGGGCCTCATCCTATTTGTTTTTTTTCCTGCATATCCCTATACAATTTGGTACAAAATAATGTTGACCTCACTGAGACTTTTCTAGAAAACTCTTCAAGATTTGCAGGGTTTGTGCAGACTAAAGCTGGGGGATGGGGAATGAGAATGGACACACAACTAACAGGAGAAGGGATATTACCATCTGTGATGAAGCTGCATAAGCCTAGCCTAGAGATGACAACCATTAACTAGATTCAGACCTGTTAGCTAACTTATAGCTAGTTTTGTCTGGCTAATTTTGATTAACTATGTAATTACCTGTGGTTAGGACTCCACTGTCTGGGAGGATCAATGAAATTCTAGTGCAGAGTTCTATGGGGGTAGAACAGTCTTTGGCACAAATTCAACCTTTTGGTCCCAGTGTACTGCTGTAGTATCAAGTTAAGTACTGGTTCAAAAATGCTAGGACCTTCACATCAGCCTGGGCTAAGTGACCCATTCTCTCCCTTTCCTGCAGGATTATTTCATGTCCTCATGAAAGTAACAGTTCCATCCTGTTGTATTCTATCAGAGCAAGGGTGAATCTTCACTTGAATATGCTCCTCTGCCCAGCCTTGCCCCCATCATATCCACAGACTGCAAAGTTGTTTAAAGGATTTGTCAGAGGGGGTTCCTACTTTCTCCAAAGCATCAGATAGCAGATCAAATCCTGCTCAATTCCAGACATAACAGATGCATCAACTGATCTGCTACAGCACATCCTATTTTCAAAAAGGACCTTACATCACTAGTTCATTTCTCCAGCACTGCAGCTGTTTCCTACACAATGTTCTCTAGCATGGTGGTTAAAAAAAAATCTGCAACCAATGATGTTTATCTTTTTTTTTTCTACAATGCTGGAGAACAATGTTTGTGATCATTATAAAGCAGTGGAAAGGCTTTATTAAAATATGTTTAGCAGAATTCATCTCAACAGAGAAGCTAGTCACTCCTGCTGGAAATGTCAACATGTTATAAACATTATTCCCTACCTCATGAGCTGATTAGGCAGTGTTGGTTTCCTGTTCCAAAACTGCTAGCTTGCTAATAGCATCTCAGCAACACCACAAAATAGATTCCAAATAAAGAACTTGAACAAGTTGGTAAAATAGGAGGAAGAGACTACCAAAATGTTGCTGTCCTGTGTATTTTATATCAGCTAGTACTGCTTTCATCAGTTTTTAGCTGCATTCCTATTTTCAGTGCAGTTCCTCATCTCAATTGTATGACCAGAATCCAGAAGGTGAATCCCCAGCTTGAATTTTTTTTTAAAAGCTTCCCATCTTTTCAAGTGAATCTCATGATTTTGCAGGTGGGGGCTGATTAATTTGATTTTTGAATGCATGTGGTTAGCAATCCTTATGCCCTGCTCAGCAACAGGAGCATGCTTTTTTCCAGGGCTTCAGCTGGCCTGTTGTTTTATTGTCAGTGCTGTACAAGCATGACAACCTGTCCCCCCCAAAATCCATGATCTGAACACAAAGGGATGACCAGATGTGCCAAGAAGCCTAGAGGACAAATAAAAACTTTCTTCTCATTTTACCTTTAGGTTTTTCTTCCTGTGAGGCATTATGGATGACCTAAGGCTGAGAATCTCAAAGAGCAAGCCACATGCTGACTTCCTACTGAAATCTTGACATCAAAATCTTTGATTCCTTATCCAAGGCTCTGATGTGAAGAGCGATGACTCAAACTTGAATGGGGAAGGTGTTCCAAGCACAGAACAAGGTGTGAAAAATGGCACAAAGTCAGGATTGAAAGTGGGAAATGGACAGGGTATTAAATAGTGCATAAAGAAATTGAGATGATGTGCAGACCTGCCACAGGCATCATACTACAGCACAGGCTATGGGGCCTTCAGGTGAAGTCCAGTTTACTTCTTGTTACCAAACTTGCTAACATATTCTCTGAATATGACAGCATAGGCAGCAGGAGGGCATGGTTATGTTATGTTCTTCCAGTGGAATGACACTGATGTATACAAAATAATGACGCTAAATCACCTAGATCTTTGATCCCAGAATCTAAGCTATAAACCATTTACCTTGCCCTTACTATAGATGGACAATAGATCATGGTTTCAGGGAAAATGTCATAAAGGCAGCACATGTTTTTTAAACATCTAAAAAGCTAGATGTTTAATACACTGGACAGACAACAGCATAGGTGTTTGCTGAGTGCAAAAAGGTGAGGGAGAACTGCCCTTTCATCACACGGGAAGCTTAGATGCCAGTAATCTGCACTGCTTCTCTAAGAAGCTGATGGGCTGACCCCTGACAGTAGCCATGTGGAAGGAGAGCAGAACTGCTGCCTCAGGCTGTCGCCATCAGCTAGGACAGGAGGCGCAGGGCACACAGAGACCAATATCAGTTTCCGCGTGGGAAGCCGCTCAAAGCAGCAGATGGAAGTAACTGCAGCGCGCCCGAGCGCAGGGGGCAGCATGACGGGGCTCGCACTGGGCGATCCCAAATTGTGCTCCCGTTTGGGGACAAACCCACGCTCCGCTCCCTCCCGCCGGTACCATCAGCGCCCCCATACTCCAGCCAGGGCAGGGGCGAGCGGACACTGCGAGACAACTTCAACAACTCTGGAGCTGCTGCCGGCTGCAGGGGCCGGCCCACAAGCGTTCGCCCATCACTGGCTCTCGGCCGGGCGCGGCAGGCGGGAGATGAGCTCCTAGAACAGGGCTGGGCAGAGTGCGGCCCACAGGCCGGAAGCGCCCTGCCAGGCTATTCTATCTGGCCCGCAGGGCCCCTAAAAATTTTTAAAAATAGATATTTATCTGCCGTGGCTGCCTGTCACGCAGCCCTCAATGGCTTGCCAAAACTCAGTAAGCGACCCTCCACCCGAAATAATTGCCCGCTGCTGGGCTGAAGCCCCGGCCCGGCCCGGCCCCGCCTCTTCCGGGAGAATCGCTGGTGTTAAGTCCGCTTCCGGGGCAGCGGAGGAAATGATGCACGCTGCCTAGTCCCGCCTCCCACCGCCTCTTCGCGCGAGCCATTGGGTGGCGGAGTCCCGTGTCCCCGGCTCGGGTGCGCATGCGCGCTGGAGTCGTGACAAGGCTTTGCTGGGGCGGCGGCTGTGGGGAAGGTTTGTCCCGTCCTGTCCGCCATGGTGAGCGTGGGGGCAGGCGCGGGTGGACACGTCGGCCCAGGGGCTGCGGGGCGGCGAGG